TAGGTGCATATTATAACAATCGAATTTTATGAAAGCACGAATCTGTGGTCAATTCAACAATTAATTTTACAGCTACCGTAATTAAAGATATATGAAAACAATATCCGAATAAAAGTACTTTTAAATATTTTTAATAATAGTTGTTCAATTTTTATTTCGTTTTTTATTTTAAGCATGATCAGTTTTTTAAACTTTCTATTTTTGTGTTTTTAAGGAGAATTTGCTATTCATCTTATCCACCCTATTACCGTATTAAATTTAATAATTTTTATACGTTTAAAATATAACTAAGAATTTTCCCGTTTGTCTAATAATAAGCTGCAGCTTAAAATACATTTTTAACAAAAATACACTACTGAATGAAAAGATACTTCATGTAAGTAGAACATCACAGTCCATTCGTAATTAATAATTACCATAGGACATTAATTTTAAAATATATTATATGCCTATATATCCTATGTAATACAATTTGACCGAATCTTTATTATATATTATATTAATAACAATTAAAATGCTTATATAATTTTTAATATCATAATAATAGCAAATAATATAATATAATATAATATATTTTCTATTCTCTTATAGACTTGTTCCTGAAAAACCTTCAAAACCTGAACACTTTGTGACTCAAACTGCAGTCACTAGACCGCCGATAAATACTCGGCCACCCTCGGCCACTCGACCACCACCCGCTAATATCATCACTTTGTCTACTAAAGCACCAATACAAGTAGCAACCAAACCAACTACAAGTTTGGTATCTTCTAATACTATTGATGAAGGTATATACTATTGATAAATAATAAAATAATAATAATAATAATATATACTAAGCAAATCAAAACACAATACACATTTAAATTATAATGTAATAATAATAAAACGATGTATAAGCATAGCTTTGATGGTTAGTTATATTTGATCTATGATGATTAAATGATTTAAAGATTATAGTAATGCATAATTCATTTATACGTTTATACATAGGTACCGTTTTTATATAATTCTTATTATAAACTGATCTGGGTAAAATCAACATTTATAATACAATTATATAGATAATGCATAAGTAAAAAATCAATATAATATTATTATCAAAAGAATATTAGTTTTCGCATTTCTTAATAAAACGATAAAAATATTTATACATGATATCCTATAGTAATAAAAAATTGATTTAAAAATAATTCAAAACAAAATGTTACACTTATGAGCTATATATATTATATATAAGTAAGTATAGGTATCTACTTCTAATTGTGTGATAGAATTATACTCAGATTTAGTATGAACTTAGAACAATTAACAGTTAAATCTTATATATAGTAGTACCTACCTAGTTGATATTTTTAATATTTTTTTATCACAATGTCACGCTTCAGTAAATTTGTTTATTTCACGCATACCTAGATGATATATTAAGTATTAACAACTAGTTTTTATCTACGACAATCAACTTAGCAGTAAACTTGCCTTAAAATTGTATTCCAATTATTTTATTGGTGAAATGCTCTTATAAATTATAAATGTATATGATACAATTGTAACAAACTCCAGCATTTCTGATGACATACGTAATACCTAATAATATATAGCATATACATTTAAAAAACTGAATATAATAAAAATACGTAGTTAAAATAATAATTAATGACCATATAGTGTTGGTTATATGGGTTTATGATTTTTGAATTATATTCTATGATAACTAAAAAAATAGATTAAATCTATATTTTCCGGTGATAATATCTGTTGTGTTAACATTTCCTCGAAATTTAAGAAAACTACTTTTGTATTATTTAATATTCTATTTACCTGAATTATGTAACTTGTAAGCATATAATACATAAACTCAAACAGATTAACAAACAAATAAAAAATTTTGATTGATGTGTTTTTTATAAAAATGAAATAAATAATTAATAATATTATTATAAAACAATAAGTTGTAATATAAATATGATCATCCCATAAATACTAACTTACTGAAAAAAAAACTATACAATTTAACCATAATAATTTCATATAATTTTTGAACGGATTACTTATATATACATTATACATGTTGAATTTAAAATTAGACTGTGGACGACCTGAAGTACCAAAGTTCCGAGTAGTCGGAGGAGATGAAGCTTTACCAGGTCGATGGCCATGGATGGCTGCTATATTCTTACATGGTCCCAGGAGAACTGAATTTTGGTGTGGAGGCTCATTAATTGGACCTAGACATATTCTCACTGCTGCTCATTGCACACGAGATAATAGACAAATGCCGTACGTTTTATTCGTTGATAGAATTAAGTTTAGATGACCATTTCGGGAAAACTTTAAATTAATAAAAAAAAAAATCATTGAAAGATAAAATAATTTTTTTTCAGTTTTAATGCCAGACAATTTACAGTTCGACTGGGTGACGTAGACCTACGCAGGGATGATGAACCTTCGTCTCCCGAAACATATTATGTTGTCGAAGTTCGTGGACATAATAAATTCTCCAGAGTTGGTTTTTATAATGATATTGCAATCCTCGTATTAGATAGACCTGTCAAAAGGAGCAAGTACACAATACCTTTGTGTTTACCTCCTAAAAGTTCTAAGTCAGATACTTTTGTTGGACAGAGTCCAACAGTTGTAGGATGGGGTACTACGTACTATGGTAAATTTAATTTGAAATAATTGTAATTAATATAATACAATTTAATTGAAATTAATTGTAATACAGGTGGTAAAGAGAGTACTGTACAAAGACAAGTTGATCTTCCTGTATGGAATAATAACGACTGTGACAGAACTTACTTCCAACCAATCAATGAAGACTTCATTTGTGCAGGATTGAAAGAAGGAGGAAAAGATGCTTGTCAGGTAAATCTTAATCTAAAAGTATTTTAAGCAAGTGCATTGTAAAAATATATTATTTCAGGGAGATTCTGGAGGTCCGTTAATGCTAAAAAAAGATGGTAGATGGATACAAATTGGTATTGTATCATTTGGTAACAAATGTGGTGAACCTGGCTATCCGGGTGTGTATACAAGGGTCACTCGATACTTGGATTGGATTAATGATAATATTAATTGATCATATTTTGGAAACTAAAAATCATCAACAATAAAATATGTAAAGTAATTAATGATAGCGTAAATGCCAAACTTATGTACCTATATTTATACATATATTTTAAATAGAGATATTACAAGAATCATAATATATCTACCTAATATTTTTTTTCACCATCGACATTCTCGTCGTTAGTAAATTAAAAAATTATTTTAAATGTAAATCATTTTGTAAATAAAATATATGAATAGAATCCCTCATGATTTAATTTCTTAAATTCTCAAAGAAATATTTAATATTAACTATTTATTTATTGAATCGTAACCAAGACTATTAGACATATAAGTAGGTAGTCTAAAATCTGTATAATATTATGAGTTGTAAAATATTATACATTTACCCGATTGCATTTAAATAAATATTTTACAAATTATAAGACAATTGCCTACAACACTGTATAATGTATAATTTAATAAAATAATAAATTATATTTGTATATTATACTGAATTATTTATAATTAGTTATTTATACAATTTAGTTTCGAAATGTATTTACATATATTAAATAAAAATTTACCTTAATGTTTAAAAAAAATTCAATTTATTCATGAAACATGTACTTATATTATTGTGTAATATTATATAATATACAAATTTGAGTAAATCATTGAATAAAATATTATGTAATCCTCTTTTATGTTATTTTTAAAAAAAGTGGGTAAATGAGTATTTAAATTAGTTTCAGTATTGTAATATTGAAGGAAAGAAAAGAATGGCGTAGTATGAAGAAATCAAACTACCTATACCTTGATACAGAGTATACCTACGCCATACATAATACATCACAATACTGAACTGAATATTTAAATTAAAATATTTAAATAGAACCCCATGTTTTCCTAGAACATAATGGAAATTCTTTCAGTAAGAACATATCATTATATTTTATATGAATTAGAAAATTAGAAAAGTTAAAAATAACCACGAAAAATAATGAAATGTATTACAATATGGTCTTGTAAACAAATTATATATAAATATTTTTATTTTACGCCACACTTAATAAAATGGAACTGCACTATATTATGATGTATTTTAAATTATTAATCAATCTATAGGAGAAGATGCTAAAAAACGTCATGTTGGAATCATGAGACCTTTTTTTAACAATAAAATATAAATATCATTAAATTAATATTTTTTTTTACAGATAATAATAAATTACAGTATACAATTAGGTTATTGACCTTCTCGGCTTGTTCTGCTAAACAACTAGGTACATAATGTATTTATCAATCCTACATATTTCGACTACCTAGGTATATAAATTAGTTCGAGCTATGTTAATTGTTATACTGAGTAGATACTTACTACTTAGTACTTACTGACATACTGTTTCTAAGTTGATACTCTTTAAAACTATGAAAGACGACAGTATTAAATTGTTAACAACCCTCTTTTATTTTTCCCACCTAAAATAAATTGTCTTACAATTATTGTTTATATTAAATCTATTTCAAAGACTAAACATGCAAATACAAAACATTATTCTGTAGGTTTTTTTTTTTCGAGTCGGGGTTATGACAGGTCATTTTACAGGTAATTAAATATATAGGTAAACATCCTTACATCCTTACATTCTGTAGGTATAAGTAGATATCAAATTCTAATATTTATCTTGTATAAATTCAAAATTGTAATATATTATATCAGTTATACAGCATAATATTAATAAATAATAAGACCTTGCTCCACCCCTATTTTAAAATGATTAATGAATAATGGTAACAATAAAAATGCCTGTATTCGATGTTCATTGTTCAGTTTATCATCACTCTAAATCAAGGCTTTTACATTTCACTGTTATTATTACGTTGCATTACTTCAACATTACACTTTGTGAACTCATTGAAAACTTTCAACATTAGTATTGAACAACATGGCATCAAATAATCAATTTGTAACATTTAATAATGGTCAAGAGTATCCAATTTTAGGATTTGGTACATGGAAGGTAATTATATTATTATATTAAATTATTTAAAAATATGTATGATTATATGTAAAATGTTCGTACATTTTAAAATGCTCCTTCGGAAATGTAAGGAGATGCAGTGAGTGGTAGGCTATTAGACAAATAAATGTGAAATTTGACGATGTAAAACAAAAACCCAAATGATAAAACAGAAACAGAATCATCTGTACAGATTAAAGTTAGAGTGGAAATGAGCTATGGCTGAAATCGAGAAAGATACTGTTGACAAAATTTGAAGGTGGAGATTTTAAAAATCCAGGTGTGTGTAGTGTGTGGTTTTAAAAGTTTTTTTAAATAAAATGTATAATGAGTGAGATTATTATTTAATTAATAATTATGTATTTATAAAAGGTGTATGTTTTATTCTATAACGAACTGCAGTCAAATAAATCTAGATATCCTAAATATTAAAATCCTCATTTAATTTGAAAAGTTGTTATGTATTTTTAGTTATTTATTTAACTAATGTAGACATAACATGAAAAACAGGACTCGTTCAGTCACATACAAACTATAATCGTAATTCCTAAATATCACGTATACAATTAACTTTATTATTATTATCAATACTTCTCATTTCATACGGTTTTAATGTGATTCACTAAAAATCGCGATAATTCCCACATTTTTAGACAAATAATGTTAATGGCCTGTGAATGACGTAGCACATGTGGCCTGTGAATCAGATATAACGTAATTAATTTTGGTATAACATATTATTATTTTTATTTAGATCAGCAATAAGAAAATTTAAACGTATCACATAATATTGTAAATGTTTCATGATATATATTGTACTTAGTTAACATAATATATGAAATGTGAATTATATATATATTATAATTTTATAATGTACCTAGTCGAAACCTGGCGAAGTTGAAGAAGCAGTGAAAGTTGCAATTGATACAGGTTACAGACATTTTGATTGTGCAATGTTTTATGGAAATGAAAAAGAAATAGGAGATGCTATTAATCAGAAAATTGATGAGGGTGTAGTAGTTCGTGAAGATCTGTTCATTACTAGTAAAGTAATTACAATTTATATTCTGAAGAAATATAGAAACCTTTATACAATTACAAATTTTATTCCTGTATTCAGTTATGGAATATTTTTCATCAGCCTGATATTGTTGAAAGTGTGTTAAAAAAAACTTTATCAGATTTACAAGTTGAATACTTGGATTTATACTTAATTCACTGGCCTATGGCTTTCAAAGTACGTATTTTATGTCTAAAAACACCATCAATATTTGTACCAATAAATAAGTACCTACCTATAGTAAAAATACTGTAACATATTAGGAGGGCGGATTAAATGATGATTTCATTCCAAAAGACGATGATGGTGCTACAATTGAAGGTAATGGTTCGTATATTGATACATGGAAAGCAATGGAAGAATTGGTAGAAAATGGCCTAACCAAATCAATAGGTGTATCAAATTTCAATAAAAGACAAATTCAAGAAATATTAGATGTAGCTACCGTGAAACCTGTAAACAATCAAGTACCTATATAAACTTATATTTCATCTGGAATAAGTAATGCTCGTATCAATACTTTTTTTGTTATTTATAGGTTGAATGCCATCCGTATTTAACCCAAAAAAAATTAAAAGAATTTTGTGACGAACACGATATAATATTAACTGCATACAGTCCACTAGGAAGTCCAGATAACCCATGGAAAAAACCTGAAGACCCGACTCTCTTAGAAGATCCGAAAATTATAGAAATCGCAGACAAATATAATAAGACTTCAGCTCAGATATTAATAAAATACCAAATTCAAAGAGGAATTATGGTTATTCCAAAATCTGTAACTAAGAGTCGTATTGAATCCAACTTTGAGGTATGGGACTTTGAACTTGAACAAGAGGATATCGATCAAATTGGTACATTCGATTGCAATGGTCGTTTTGTGCACATGAAGGGGTATCTATAATATTTTTTACTACTTAAAAGTATATTTTAAAATGTATTCAACAATATTTAAAATGATAATATGTATTTTTTAGGAACATGCATTTTAAGGACTATCCATTCATTGATGAATATTGAATTAAATATATGTAGTTGAAAAGCGATACTTTTTAGTTACTCTAAATTGTATTAGATGTACAATGGACATGAATACATTTTATCACCTTATAAATATAATTAATAATGTATTTAAATAATTTCTTATATAATCTTACTTGATATACTCCTATAAAAAAAAAAAAAATAACGTGCCTACCTACCTGACTACCAAGTACATTTTAGATTCTGAGCGGAGCGATGAATGTATTGGTTTTACAATGATGTATGTTTTTTTTTATATTTTTATTTATATTTTTGTGTCTGTCATCACGTTTTAGGACAGTAAAAGTGCTTGGATTTTCTTCATCAGTAGCTTTTCTGGTAGGAAATTGAATCTATTTGGTACTTTGGGGGGTCAAAAGTATAAATTTCCCAGTAGTTTTCACAAGCGCCGGGAAAAACAACATAAAAATTAAGGAAAAACGCGAATTTTTACGCAAAATTGGTTTTCCAAAAAATCAATTTTGGTTATTGGTGTAACTCTAAAACAAATGAACGTATATACATGAAATTTTCACTGGTTGTTTATATTTGCATTTTCTATACACGATAACATTTTCAAAATATTTTGATTTATTTGAACTGTTTAGGGACATTTTCATTTTCCATTTTTTTTTAGTTTTTTTTCTAAAAATATCAATAAAATTTTATTTGTTGGTTGCGAAAGCTTGAAAATTTAATAGAAGGCTCCTAATATATTGTTTCAAAGGCAGATGAAAAATATTAAAAATCCTTAGTCACAATTTTTTTTTATAAGCATTTAAAGTTCAAAAATTCACAATATATGGAAAAATCACGAAAATTAGCAAATTGTTTTGAGTTAAGAATTCGTCAAAATTTTTCTTTTTTAATCTAAGATTTGAAAATGAAACACAAGATTCCTTATAAGATTATCTACCTATATCAATAAAAAAATCTCTACCGGACAGTCAAGTTAAATTTTTATGAGCGTTTGAAATTCAAATTTTTACAACATTGGATATTCACTCGATTACTCATGTAGCGATTTCTTTATTTTGTTGCAATTCAAAAACGAACAACTGTAGATACATGAAAATTTCACTGAATGTTTAAATTAGCATTTTCTATACACCATACAATTTTGAAAATATTTTGACTCTTTTTGAGCTGTTTATGGACATTTACAGCTTTCAATTTTTTAGTTTTTTTTTCTATAAATATCAATAAAGTTTTATCTGTTGGGCCAAAAAATGTAAAAATTTAATACAAGGCTCCTGATATATTGTTACAATATCAGTTGAAAAATATTAAAAATACATAGGCACGATTTTTTTTTATAAGCATTTAAAGTTGGAATTTTTACAAAATTTATCAAAATCTCGAAAATTATCAATCGTTGGAATTAAAAAATTATAAAATGTTCAGTTTTTATAACTAAGAGTTGAAAATTTAAAACAAAGGTTCTCTTAAATAATTCATACTGTAACCAAAAAATCTAAAAAATATATAAACACACTTATTTTTTACAGACATTTTAATTTCAAATATTCAAAATTTCATATTTAAACCAAGAATTACGATTTTAGTTATTTTGTTGTGATTGAATAATATTATTCGTGGGTACTTGAAACTTCTAAAGTGTACTATTATATATCTATGATAGTATCACGGTTTTTGTTGATGTATAACGCGTTATAAGTATCTAATGGATATTGTGATATGATTAGTTTGGAATTTATTATAGGTACCTATTATAGGTCAATTTTTTGTTTAATACCATAGATATGTATATAATATGTCTTATACATAGACTGACATACCGTCACCGCTCAGAATCGTTTTCTTATACAATGATATTATATCATTGAATTCAAATTTAATACCATCCATTATACAGTGACCTACTTGTAACCTACTGTACAGCAGAGCGACACCACTTGCCCACCTTTTTAAAAAATATTTTTTTTTTTTTTTTTTTTATAGCATCTATATAAAATGCAAAGTAAGTATTTGGTATAATACTATAATATGAGTGTTTCAAATAAAATTAATATATTAAAATACGATGTATTTTCAAAATGTAAATAAATAAAACATACTGGGTTATATTATAGAAATCAATATTTTCTTAGTCATCTAAATATCTAATACAATACGACGAGTGTGTCTAATCAAGGCGAATTGTATACTCTTGACTCTTGTGCTATCTGCGTGGTTTTGACGTTACTATGATTTTTAGTTATTTTATTATTAAGGTTATAAGTAGGGCTGGGATTTTAATGACCAAAAAAATTTCAAAAAATGTACTTAAAAAAATGCAAAAATGACTTGTATGAAAGACCTTGTATTAAATTGTCTAGCCTTAGATATACATATTTTATATTTTATAAGTTTTGAACTACAAATCAACCGTGGTTTTGACGACATTTTAACTTTAAATTCTTATAAAAAATAACCATGATGTCTATGTATTATTGTTAATATTTTAGCTATAATAAAAAAACTTACGTATTATATTTTTAAGCTTTTTGTCTGGATAAATAATTTTTTATTGACATTTATAGAAAAAAAATTTTAATTAATCAAATACAATCCAAGATAAGACGGTATAACCAAGCTTGTTACCAAACAATTTAAATAAATTTTCATTTTTTTTCTCCAATTATTTTTAAAAGCACTAAGAATTTTCAATTTTAACCTCCTAAAAGTACTAACTAGATCCAATTTGCTTCCAAAAACATACACTGGGCATCGAAGCTTATGATCAGAGCATTTTTTCTACCAGAAGAGTTGAAAAGTTACAAACATTTTAAAATACCCCAAATAAACGTCTGCAATTATTAGACTGAACAAATTAAAAATTAAATTGTAACTAATTTTCAAGCCCCCCCCCCCCATTGAAAAATCCTGCGGACGCCACTGCTGAATCTTATAATAAATGATTTTATATTTTTGTAAAGCATTCCAATTGTGTAAAATTATGATCATACGGCGTTGTAGATAGGCTTCACAATATACACAACCATTCCCGCCGTGGTACGTCTTTGTTTCTACTTTGTTAAATCGAAAATCGATTTCTAATGATGCATCGTCCCTTAAAGCAGTCTACTTGGACTTAGTCACTTGGACAACACAAAATAATTTAGCTTAGGCAGAAATCGATTAGAAAACTGATACAATCGTTTTTTTCTAATTACAAAATTGACCAAGTTAAAGTAAATTTATATTTATTATTTACTAATATTATGATTATTGTCTATGGTAGTTATATGGTGTAAGGAGGCATGCAAGGTGGATTAATTCACCTTGGTGGCATAAAGGCATAATAATGTGCTTGATTCTCAACAGTCAAGTCGAGTCAAGACTTATTGCATCGAAGTAGATCGTAGATGTGACTTAGTAGTTGGTTGCATAGTTTGTTATTGTTAATCGGAAACAACAAAACTTACATTTTAACTTTGGTAACACTGATTTAATAATTTTTTACTGTTTAATGATATAATGGCAGCCACTGAGTGTCTGAGTTACGGCAGCTTGAATTGCTTTCAGTACAATGTTTTTTTCATAGATATTTGACTACGGTCCACGATGTAGTGATGATAGATCTTCTCTACATCGTGCATGTGCATTAGACAGTCACGCAGGCCACAGTACTGGCGTACCATAGTGTACTACAACTGTATAGTGTACTCTGTAGTACTGTCTTTATTTTTTATATTGTAAACCCTAGCAGGTAGTCTGGCTCCAAGAGTGATGGCTAAAAAGTAAACACTAACTATTTATTAATAGTTTATTTTGTCATGTTATTTACTATTTAGAGGCTACATTTTAACCATGGCCGGGCTATGGCCATTGATAGTTGAATGTTTACTTAAGGGGTCTCGCTACTGCCGTCAATTTTAGCTGTAAAGACCTAAAGTATTGACAAAATTAAAGTTAGTTAAGGTTGTCCGATTTTGATTCTGAAAAAAAATTTGAACTCGCCAGAAAATTGTCTATAGATCCTAAGAAGCGCTTTGTAAAAACTAAATTTTATATTATTGTGAACTGTAATTGAAAACTTGAAAATATCAACTTTTTCGAATCATAATTAAAATTAAAATTAATATTAAAAACGGAAAATGTTTCGTATGATCTACAGACATTTTTTTGCTGAATTCAAATATTTTTTCAGAATCAAAATCAGACAACGTTAACTAACTTTAATTTTGTCAAAACAAATGTATGTTTTTGTAAAATTCGTGTAGTGAAATTGATATGGTTATCGAGTTATTGTCATGTGCATGTGCGTACGAGAGAGGATACCCACATTTAATTTCACTCACACTAATTGACAACTAAGTACTAACACATAGATCCCGGGCGGCTAAGACAAGATTAGAAATTGCATACATTTTGCCCCTTAAATAAAGACCGTAGCGAGGCCCCTTTGGCAGTAAGTTATCCGGTTGCCGGTGCTTCGTAGTCGGCAACGCCGCAACGGCGTCCGCCAAGCTGGCAACCGTATAGATTAGAGATGAATGCGGCCGGCATTCGCATTACTATCCGGCAGCAGCCACTCCCTGCAGGCAACAATTATTTGAATTATTTTATAATAACCATTTTGTAACTGGTATTTCATATAATAATATTATAATGTTATTACTATTGCAGATAACTTATCGTATTACACGTTACCACTTGTTTTTCTAATAATATTCATTGCTCGTATTTTACCACCGAGGTAGGGATAAGAATAATAGCCAATAGCATGATATAATAGAAATAATTAAATTAATAAACGTGCAGTAAAAAAGAATTATTTCACGTCCACGTTCATCTTGTTAAAAAGGAACTAAATCGTCACTGGCTTAAATAAAAGAACTAGTTCCTTTCCTCGTTCCTAAATAAAGAAAATTTTTCGGTCATCAATAATTTCAAAATTGTTTTAATATAATTTTTATGTAGTAATAAATTGTTTATATCTAGTTAAGACCATCGTGACTTACTTCACATTTTGTAAACATTGTCAATATTATTGTATATTGTCGTATACCTATAAGTATATGATAGCTCATTATTATAATAGATACATTTAATATAATAGCTCATATTTACTAAATTTCCAGTAGCCACTATTGACTATATGGCAATAGATCAAGGACCGAACAATTCTGAGATATTGTCATATTGATATTGAGTTTATTGAGATTATTAGATTAACATGAGGTTTTTAGTGAGTAGGGCTTGAGTGGCCGAGTGTCTGAGTAGTCAGTAATGACTACACATCTTGGCATATCTTTAGGGAAAAATGATTGGCAATGAAGTGAACAATTTGTGGTTGGTATTCAAATGTTTGATGTGGGCTTCGAGGGACCCACTGCCACTGTGTTGTCTCCCTTTTACACACGTACGACATATACAATTTTTGTTCACCAGTTTCAATAGTATGCTGTTAGTTTTGATATTAGAGTGAATTGACCTAATTTAAATTTAAAGGTAAGACTATTATCTAGGACACAACGGAGGATTTTATTGATATTATTATTTTTAAGTAGGTACCTAAGTTATGACCTTTTTGACACTGTACCTACATTTTAAAATGATCATAACTTACTTAAAAATAATAATATCAATAAAAGCCTCATTAATCAGTCGTACCCTAAATAATAATCTTACCTTTAAATTGTAAAATATTGTATAATATACCTATTAGGTCACTTTAATAATTCACTCTAATATCAAAACTAACAGGATACTATTGGTACTGGTGAACGAAAATGTGCTATGTCGTAAGTAAGAGGAAGACAAAATCATATGAGGCTAGTGGGTACGACGTCCTCTTAAGTCTTAAGTGCATAATATAATTGTATTATTTTAGTAACTACTAACTAGTAAGCACTAAGCCGTGACAAAATAAATGTTGTCACGCATTAGAACCTACTACCATACTACTTACAATACTACCTAACTATGTAATACTATAACTCAGAACTGTATAAATGTATAATACTTTTAATACTATAAGAGTATAATAGGTAGGTACTACAACGATGGTCGATGAACGAAATGTACCTAAATAACATGACAAAACATAACTTTGTTTCGTTGTCTGTTGTCATGGTAAAAACTAAAAGGTAAATATTAAATAAATAAATAATAATAGATAAGTTAATATTGAGGGTCCAAATGAATTATGAAAATAGCTATTATAATATTTATGATTTATGAGTAAATTGCCGACTACAACAGTAACCAACTGGCAACTACACGGTATAGCTTTAGTAACAAGAGTGGGGGTAAGCCGGCTCGTTTTTGTTATCGAGAGTCGAGACTCGAGACATACAGTCCGCACTAATGCACTACACTGCTACACGTCACTACGTCAGACTATAGGGTACAAGTACAAGTCAACAACTATTATAGTATAATATTAAATATTAATTTTATCTTATCTGCGTATCTAACCTCAGTGATCACTACTATATAATATAGTGCAACAGCGGTTTACTACCACTTTATAATTTACTCTGTCCTACAATCTACCTACTAACTAGGTACTAATATTTCGTAGTTGATTCACAAATTTATAATTTGTTTATTATAACTAAAAGTAAATACATTTCAAATACAATGGCATCAAAAAATCAATTCATCACATTTAATAACGGTCAGAAGTATCCAGTTGTAGGATTTGGCACTTGGAAGGTAAATATTACTAAATAATATTAAATTAATTAAAAGTAGGTAGGTAGTATTTGCCTACTGCCTACATTTTAATTTTAATTATATACAAGTTATGAAGTTATTTTAAATTAGGTGTAGATACCTAAGTAGTAGGTTAGGGTAGGTTTCAGTGCTCGAGTTTTATTTTTAATGTGAGCTGACCAGGTAAATCGACAGATATTATATTAGATCATTAATGTATAGAGGTACTTATCGTACAGAGGTACAACCTGCAAGTATTAAAAAGCATGTGTACATGTAATATTTGCGCTTAGTATTGCGGTTCCATTTTAATAATGATAAATTGTTTTTCATTTTATATTTTTACAAAATTCAGAGGTCAAACTAATTTACTAACTTATCCAGTTTCACATTTATATCATATTGCTTGTACAACCGGCACAAAAGGTCTTGACAAGCCTATGTAGATGCTAAACAATATATTATAAAATTAAAATATTAAAGCTTTTATAAATATAGTCTGATGTACCCATATGCATAGGTACCTAAAACAATTATACCATATACTCGTTGAGCTATAATATTGAGGGAAGATAATATATCAAATAAATAATAAAACACTTACTGATGATTACTAAAAATTAAAATATAAAATATTTAGGTAACTAATTTTATTTCATATTTACAGTCAAAGCCTGGTGAAGTTGAAGAAGCAGTCAAAGTTGCCATAGATACAGGATATAGACATATTGATTGTGCTATGGTTTATGATAATGAAAATGAAATAGGAAAAGCTATTAAGGAAAAAATTGATGAAGGGGTTGTTAAACGTGAAGATTTATTCATTACTAGCAAAGTAAGAATATTTACCATTTTTATGAATTAAAATAATTAAAACACTATATTTTTAGCTGTGGAACACTTTTCATCAACCCGATTATGTTGAAACAGTATTAAAAAAAACGTTATCTAATTTGCAAATTGAATATTTGGATCTATACTTAATTCACTGGCCTATGGCTTTTAAGGTATGTTTTAAATTTGCTAAAATTAGTTCATGACCACTGAATATCTATAATAATTATTATTTATAAATTCTAATTATAATAGGAAGGTAAGTTGGAAGATGAATGGTTCCCAAAGGATGCTGATGGAGTCACACTCGAAGGAAATGGTTCTTATATAGAAACATGGAAAGCAATGGAAAACTTGGTTACAAAAGGTCTTGTCAAGTCAATTGGTATATCAAACTTTAATAAGAAACAAATAGAAAACATTCTAAGTATAGCTACCATAAAGCCAGTTGTTAATCAAGTATGAATTTAATATTAAATGTAGTATATAAAATTAAAAATATAATGAAAATATTTTATATTTGTTTATATTTAGATTGAATGTCATCCATACTTAAATCAAAAAAAATTAAAAGATTTTTGTGAACAAAATAATATATTTGTAACCGCATACAGTCCTTTAGGATCTCCAGACAGGCCTTGGGCTAAGCCAGAAGATCCGTCACTCTTGGAGGACCCAAAAATTGTAGCAATTGCAAAAAAATATGGCAAAACTACTGCTCAAGTTTTGATTAAATATCAAGTACAAAGGGGCATTATAGTCATTCCAAAATCTGTGACCAAGAGTCGCATTGAATCCAATTTTGATATATGGGACTTTGTATTAGAACAAGGCGATATTGACGCAATTGATACTTTTGATTGTAATGGCAGAGTTCTTCATCTTAACTGGTTTGTTAATAGTTAATATTTGTTTACAAATATCAAACGGGTTTTTATTTTTTATAGTTTTAATCAACCATATACCTTTTTTTTTTTTTTACAGGAATAGTCATTTCAAGGATTATCCATTCCACGATGAATATTAATATTAATTAATAATATTTCTGCAATCTAACTAATAATTTAAAAATTTTTTAATATACTTTTCAAACTTAAAGCATATTTTAATTGCATAATCAATTTAATGGTTTAGTGTAATATTTTTGTAAAAACTAATTGATTTTCAATAGTTATTTAATTTATTTAATAAACCATATTATTTTTTAAAAAAAATAGTAAATTTATTTTCATAATACATTATTTTAGTTCGTTGATTTCAATTTATATAACCTTAATGTCAGGAAAACTAAATATATATATATATAATATATTTTTAAATAACACTTATCCAGAAGTCACTATTAAAATAATGTAATTAGCTTGAGAAAACTAAATGGTAATTATTTTAGTTTTGTTATTTTCTGTTCTAAAGCGTGTATTTCAAAACTATGGTAAAATATATAATTTATTTATTATAACTTAAACAAAGAATGACATGTAAAATAAACGGAAAGTTATATCAATTAAATAGGTTCAAACTGCAAAGATCTACATTTACAACCATTCACACAAACTTAACATAATCAACATTAATCACTAATAAAAACATACATATTGATATTGTATACCTTCCAAATACTTATAACATGTGTAGTTCTTATAATCAATTATTAAAATTTAACCTCGAGACTTAGAGTCAACTCATAAAGTATAACCATGATTCAATTAGGTATTTAGGTAGCTAAAATTCAAAATATATTTTACTTTTACATATAATCTAGATGGCTCTCTATATTTTGGAAACTTCTTTTTATATTTTGATCTTAGCACTTATCACAACTATTAACCCACAACCAAGGTGGATATCCTACAACTTTTTGAGTTTAGGAAGGAAGCAAGATATGATGATAAAGTGAAAACTTAAACTTATTATTAATTAATGATAAAGCTAATTTCAGATTTTATAAAAGAAACATTTGGAAAGTTATGCATATTGTATGCATTTAAATACTTATTTTTAATTACTTCTATAGATTTAAGAAGAGTTAAAGAGTTTACTATCATACGTTTATTAAGGGCTTAATTCATTTAAAAAGTTTAATGTTATAGTATTGGTTACACACATTTGTACCAAAAGACTAGAATTAAACTTAGAAATTAAATTTTTTGTGGATTATACATAACTTTGTAAAACCAATGGTTATGGTTTTAAGTGAATACTCAATCGTCCCAAACTTATTAATGTTGGGAAACTAATTTTACAGTTACCTATTTTGAATTTATACTTATATGTTTATGCTTTATCCTTGTGTTATTATATAAGTATCTAGTATCAGTAGAATAGTAGATACTAAAAGTAGGTAGGTACCTTATATTTTTTCAAACATTTTACCTTAAAACTACAAATAGCTGGAGAATATACTTACACAATTTAAACATGTTATATACCTAGGCTTATGACATTGTTTTTCTATTCTTATTTCTTATGCAGTTAGGTATAGCCCCTGGTATGGGTATTTAATCTGGACCGAGAAACCCAGATAGCAACGCCTCAAGGCATCGACTTAAGTATTGTATCTTTGAAATGTAAGCCCTCCTAGCCAGGCAGACTATGATTCTATCATAGTATCATGCCTGCTAGACTAAGTGTCTACTATCTAGTACTCGCTAAGGAAAGTGCCAGGTCGTGAGGGTGTGTCCATGTAATGCTATTGTTGTACATAAATGTTTTTTTTTAGGATTTAACTTTTGAACCTAACATAATATGACATATCTATAGCACTTAATAAAGCTAAAAAAATTGATTCTAGAGCCATTCTAACTAGGGATTCCATACGTCCAGTATTATACGGGAACGTCCCTTAATTCATGACAGTGTCCCGGTGTCCTCATAACAGATCCAATATCGTAAAAATGTCCCGTATTATGAAATTCTCGTCCCGTATAACTAGAATACTTGATCGTTTAATATTTGTATATATAATGTTCAAAATGTGTTTCCAAATGTCAAGACAAAAGTATTTTTAACCACTGATTGACCGATAACATAATTATTAAAGGGCCTGCAGGCTGCAAGTGACCTGTTATTTTGCTCAAAAACATGCCTTACAGGAAAAACTCTCATGCCTCGTAGAGTGATCTGATTTCGATTTTTTTTTTTTTTTGAAAAAGAAACGCTTCTTACCGGGCTCACTGAACCTGGATTTTCAAGATTCTATTTCTTAACCATATAATACGACTTTGAATATGACCAATTTTCACAAGATTTTATTATTTTTATTTAAACAACGAAATTAAAAATCGAAGTTCAATGCGCCCTGTAGAAAATTCTCCTCTTTCTAACGAAAAAAAAAATAATCAAATCAGACCAATCTACCATGCGATGCGTGAGAGTTTTTTCTGTAAAGCGTGTTTTGAACCAAAGTCGGCGGTGCCGTTGAAATGTACGCTCATGCGCAGTGCGTGCGTAGATAGCACGGTACTCGCATACAATATTGTTCTGTGATACAATCCCACTCACATTAATCATCATTGACGACTAACCCAAATGCAATGGGCGGCGGCAACGAAATTGCATGTTTCCCAAATATTGCCCAAATATATACTATCTATATTCTATGTATTGTCCCTTATTAAAGACACACGAGAAGGCCCCTTAAAGCATTTTTTAACAAAATAAACTTTATAAAACTTATCAGGCTATAACATACTGGGATGGTAGGTACCCAATGGCCAACGTTTCAATCCCCCCCCCCAACCATAATTTAATTGTTTATAGTTTTGTCCCGTATTTTTTACTTTGAAATCTGGCATCCCTAATTCTAACCCATAACATACCGGTAAAATATGTTCAAAAATTATACAGCTGAAGTACAATAAAACTTTGGTCAAGGTTAAAAAAATTAAATTTTAATAATAGAAACTATTATTATGTTCTCTGATTGAAAATCACGAAACTTAGATTACGCGTTCAAGGCTAAATATTCTAACTAGAATCGATATAGGTAATCTTCATATTTATGCTTATAAATGTTAAATGTAGAATTATCAATAACTAATTAAAATAAATGGTAGGAGATATATTTTTAAGAAGGTTGGGTATTTTATCGGCTATAGTAGGTACTATAATATTTATACTTATATATTTTTTTAATTGTATTTAAATAATGGCTACAGCCTACAAATCATTTTAATTGGTATTTCGTATTACTATTAAATAATCACTAATCACTAATCATTATTTTATATTCTATATGCATATAATTCAATGTTAATTAATATTAATATTATGTTTTATTCATGTTCATTTCTACATAATATGTATTAAGCTTATATTAAATATTTTGATTAGCGGACTACTAAAAAGGACTTGAAAACATTTTACATAAAATATATTTTTTATAAGAAATAGAATATAAATTGGTTTTATTTCTCATTTACATTTCTACTTAAATATACCTAATGATTTAAATTTTTTTTCATGTGGGGGCCCCTTTAAATAATTTACCGGTAGGCCAAAAATGGCCTATCCGCCTATGGCCTACACTAATGATTAAAAAAAAATTTTTTTTACTTAATTTGATGTCATTTAAAAACAACATTTCTGAAAGAATATAATATTTTTTACTATTTTTTATCGTTATATTTTTTTTAGGTTTTTTCCTTTTTGAATGACTTCATGCATTTTATAGATTCCGAGTGGAGCAATAAATGTATTGACTTTACAATGATGTGTGTTTTATTTTTTTAATTTTTGATACCTTTTGGAGCCAATTAAAAATGCTTTGATTTTCTTCAACAGCACTTTTTCTGGTAGGAAAGTGATTAGTGAATCTAGTTGGTACTTTGGAGGGTCAAAAGTAAAAAATTGCAAATAGTTTTTAAAAGCGTCAGGAAAAACAAATAAAAAATTATGGAAAAACTGAGATTTTTAAGCAAAACCAGTTTTTGAAAAAAAAAATTTGTTATTTAGTATAACTCTAACAAAGGTGACAGTAGATACGTGACATTTTTACTTAATGTTTATATTATTTATACTAATTTCTGAGACTATTATTGAGCTATTTATAGGCATAAGCAAATTTCGAGTTTTTTTTAAAATTATTATTGTCAATAAAAAATGTTAGCTTGGTCAAAAAACTTGGAAAATACAACATTAACTAGTAATTACCTATACAATTGAAATAGTGATGCATAATAAAATATTAAATTCAAAAACATTGTTAACTTTGTTCAAAATTATTATTTAATATTGTGTCGATAGCAAACAATTTAATTTTATTATTTTAAGTTCTAGTAAGTTTTCTAGTTTTTTTTTTTTAGTAGTCTACACGAGAGTAATATAGGTAAAAATTACATAAGAGTATAGGTACGTTAATTCCTACAAATAAGATGTAATATAAGTTTTTACAATATTGTATATTTGTACCTATAGTACCTACATAGAATTAAATTACGTGCCTACGTGTATGTTAGTTCACGGCGGAAAAATAATTGTCTACCAACTAAATAATCACAAAATTCTATCTTTAGGTAGGTACTGAATTTTAAAACGAAACATTTATACTTAATAACATAGAAAAAACATTCTTTGTTAATTTTTTAAGACAATTGCATAAATTTGTATCATAAATATGTGCTCCATCAACTATTAACTTGTATATATTATATTATTTTTTCTACATGGTAGGTACCTATACATATTAAAATATGTATTTGTACCTGCTAGGTCTCATGTAGGAACTATTATATTCGCCAATATATTTATATTAATAATTAATATATGAAAATAATTAAGATACCTTGTATGGGAAATAGGAATCTACCTGTGAGCTAACTAATGGCTATAATTATATTGGGAACGAATCGATAATTCGATACGATATCGTATACAATTTCCGACATCGATATCGCTTTTGTATTGTCGATACATCGCGATATCGAAAATAAATTTTTCGAGAAATACATGTATTACTATGTATACAAGACATGAATTCAGACAATATAAAGAAAATATTAGATTTATTTTCGAGGATACGCTATCGGGTTGACACATTTAAGAGAAGTCAAAGGGTAACAAAAAATAAATTTAAACAAATTACAAATGTATACAAATTTTTGTAATAAAATAACTAGAAAGTATAAAAACTATACAATAAGTATAAGTATGATGTTAAATGTGTAATGTCGTGTACCATATAACAAAATATTAATTACTTAATAAGTAAATCCTTAGTGTGATATATTAGAATTTATAAATGAATACGAAAGTTTTTTGGTTGTTTGTAAATAAAATATATTTATGATACATATCGAATCTAGAAAAACGATATCGCGATAATTCGGAAAATCTGAAAGTCTATACATACTAGAACCTTGAGAGTCCTTGAAAGTTGAAATGCATTCATTAAAATATAATACATTTCAGTAGGTAAAATTAATTGGTAGTACTCTGTAAAATTGTAAAATTGTTGTGAGTTTGTGACGTGTTATTGTGTTAAATGAAATAATAATTACTCGTATTATTTTTTATCTATAATATTTTATGATATTGAAACTTGTAGGTTCTAATAGCCACCATAATTAATAGGACGTATAGTTACAACTTAAAAAAATTGTAAGAAACTAATACAAAATAAATCATTAAACTCATATTTTTAAATCGTTTATAATTTATTGTATACTAAAATACTGAATACAATATTATACACAAACAGAGCGATTATTTCAACAGTAAACACTCACAAATTGAATTTTTCGAAAGAATAGTACATCTATCTATACAATTTTAATTTCATATTCTGAAGAAAATATTTTTCTTATTAGGTACTTAAGTACCTACTTTGATATATAAGGATCGAATATCAAACGATGATCATATACGCGTTAATGTTACTCGCTTCACACAACAGTTAATAATTTACCTAGGTATCTTTAAAGTATATTTTCTAATTTTTGTTGTACCTTGTACCTACCACCTACGTGACTACCTATGTGGTGTGTTCTTACGTACATACTGAAAACGTTAGTGGAACCAGATTTTTTCTAAAGTGTTTAGACTTTTTGAAATAATTAAAATGTGTGTCAGTGTCAACATAAATCGACGTGCTGCGCCGTTATAACTAATAAGTGCACGTAGGTACCTAAGTAACAAAAATATCTCTTTTAGTAAAAATTAGCCTAATTATATTCAAATATTAAAAAAAATCAAACGTTATATTGAAATTCTGATAATTCTAGTCTTTACCACAAAAAATTACATCAAAATAAAATGTATTTCAACAAAATCGTTTTTAGTAGTTTTGATTACATTGATTTAGCATTTTATAATAATAATTTGAAGAACATATTTTTTTGTGTTGAGTGCTCCTTTAATTTCATTCGGCTCCACTGGAACTACACTGGTATCGTTGTTTGTGTTATAGACGTTATAGTGTCTATTTAAAGTGATTAGTAGTCTGTATTAATGTACCATGAAGAATAGAATATTATTCTAGTCTTCATGGTCTGAGGTTGAAAAGCGTAGTGACAAGTTTGTGTGGGGGGGGGGGAAATGAAATTATTTCGCCCCGGGAGCATATATTCTAAATATACCATACTACCATGGACTTAAAGATACATCAGCAGGCTGCTGTACACAACACAATTTTAGAGTATGATCATTGATTTTATAATATACTAGTATATTATAAAATCAATGGTATGATCAACGCAGAGTATGCTCTATATACTCTATATGGGTATAGATAAATTATTGTTCTGTGCACGTTAGTCCGTGCCCCGTGGTTCAGTCTGTGGTATTGTATTATAGATAGATAGCACTATCTTAGTCCGTGTCGTTGACGGGCTTATCAATTATCATTTATCACTATAGTCTATAATTAATATCAATTATTTATTAGGGAACTACTAAATTACAAATCAATATAGAAGTATAGACGTCTGGAGTATTGACTATTGAGTAATGAGTATTGCCAGACGCCAGTCTTACATAAAATAACTCAAAAGTATAAAACTGCAGTAACCAGCAACTAGTGCCACTAACTGCCACATAGTATTCTTATTTTTTACAGTAACTAGTAAGTCTTACAATAATTTTGCTGCCACATTTTTGTTTTGAAAAGTATTTTTATAATTGCCATTTACGCAGGTCGATACTTAAATATGGCATCAAATTTGATGAAAATGGTAAAGTTCAATAACGGTCAGTTATATCCAATCTTAGGTTTGGGAACTTGGCAGGTAATATATTATGTTTACAAATATCTGTTTTTTAGTTATTACCATGCCATTTAAAAAATATTAATTTTTCAGGCATCAGCAATCATTGATGACTCTCAACAACTCATCAATTCTATAAAAAATGCAATTGACATAGGATATCGTCATTTTGACTGTGCTGCCATTTATAACAATGAAAAATTGTTGGGAAAGGCTATAAATGATAAAATTTTAGAGGGTGTTATTAAAAGAGATGAACTATTTATTACTAGTAAGGTATGTCGTGGCACTACATTCATAAAAAATATAAATTATAATTATTTTGATGTGAATCAGAGAATAATCAGTCAATGGTTATAAATATTTTAAATAACTTGACAAAGATTTAGATCTTGTTTAAAATAATTACTAATTTTAGCTAATACATTTAGTACAATTATTGGTAAAATTAGAGATAACATTTTGAAAGCCCTAAATACATTAATTGTATAATGTTAAGATACAAATAAGATATTGCAAATATCTTGATGAAAAAATGACATAGGTAATAATTCTGACAAGATGATGATTAAGAAATACTACATACTAACTAAGAAATGAATCGAACTTAAACTTTAACTTCTGTTAAAAATAATTACAAAGATATTTATTAATAAGTAATAACTTATTAGTAAATTTAAATTTTTAAATTATAATCGTGCTTAATCATATCTAATGATTTTGTTAATCTTAGTTATTATTTACTTATGTGTTTGATTTGTTTAAGCTTTGGAATGATAAGCATAGATCTGAGCTGGTAGAAGAAGCATTGAAGAATACTTTGAATGATTTATGTTTGAGTTATGTAGATTTATATCTTATCCATTGGCCTTTTGGAATTAGTGTAAATAATATTTTTAAATATATACAAAACTTAAAATCAAAACTTGTTTACCTATAATATTATTAACATGTATTATATTTCAGGAAGATTCTAATGCTACTGACAGCGAAGGTCGGTTATTAAGTTCTGGTATCTCTTATTTAGAAACTTGGAAAGCTATGGAAGCATGTGTTCAAAAAGGTCTCACAAAATCAATTGGAGTGTCAAATTTCAATATTAAACAGTTAAAAGATATTTTAGAAATAGCTACTATTAAACCAGTTGTTAATCAGGTAATATAGTGTTGAACCATGGAAATATTATGTTTCAATTTTTTTTTAGGTTCTATGATTAAGTTAGATACTTTTACATAAACTGTAATTTTTTTAATAGTTATTTTAGCTGGGTTTTAAAATAATAATATGCATGTAAACAATTGACTTAATTAACAATCATACAACTGTTTGTTATTTTAGGTTGAGTGCCATCCTTATTTAACACAAAATAAACTGAAGGAGTTTTGTGAAAGTAATGGTATACTACTAACTGGTTATGCGCCATTAGGGTCAGCAAAAAGATCATGGGCAGGACCTGAAGAAGATGCTATTTTAGACGAACCTATTGTAAAACAATTAGCTGATAAGTATAAGAAAACCAATGCTCAAATATTAATAAAGTTCCAAGTAATAATTGTATTAATTATTTATTTCAACTTGTTTCTAACTTGTATTGTGTTGAAAAAATTAGATCCAAAGAGGTGTTATAGTGATTCCAAAGTCATCCAATCCAGAGAGGCAGAAAGAAAATTTTGATGTCTGGGATTTTGAGTTAACTACAGAAGATATAGGTCTACTCGAGTCCTTGAACAAAAATGCTCGTTATTTTGAATTCAACACGTAAGTTGAAAATATTATTTTACATTCTAAAAAAACATATTTTAACACAATATTTATAAGATTTATGAACCCTGTTTCTTTTTTTAGTGCAAAACATTTGAAAGACCACCCGTTCCTCGATGAAGCCTAATTTGAACATTTGGAGATAAACATTTAAAATTTTGGCTAAAATTAATACTATACTGCTTATAAGTATTAAATATATTAAAAATATAATATTATTTATTAATAAACTTAAAAATGTACAAGCTTACTACTACACTCTGGTTTTGTAAATTGTATTTTTTTGCTCTTTATATTCTCTCTCAAAACTAAAATTTTACTGAACAAGTCTAGTTTTATTTTCCTACTTTTTTAAAAATCGGATACATTTATATTTATTTATTGCAGTATAATTTAAATACTTGGTGTGTAATGTGTAGTAATGTGAGTTACATTGCATTCCGTCTGCTGTGTGAACCCATTGGTGTGAGGGTATACAGGGGTGTACCCTAGCACCAATTTACTGATTTAGCGTATACCCTATACCAGCGATTCCCAACCCTTAATAGTTTTGTAGACCATCAATTATGTAAAATAAAACTTTGAGGTCCATTTACCTACCTAATATGCATGTATAAAATATAAACACACAAATAAGATGATAGAAGAAATATAGATTTAATAAAATTCATATAAAAATCTCGTTGATACCAATTAAATTTTAAATTGGCAAGTTATTTCGAGTAAGTACGCAATTTAAATTCCAATTTTCATAATTCATAAAGACAAAAAACGAAAACCTTAGGTATTACATCAAAAGTACGTACAGGCCATGAGATATATTATAATATACCTACATAAAGCAATATTCATACAATGTGTTAATTGAATCTGTAATTTCATTATGGGCACTGGCCCAGGGGATCTCCCCCCTATATACGCCACTGCACCAAGATTATATTTTTTAGTTCAAAAATAAGTTTAAAATAAATATATTATATTATGTCTAATTATAAACACTTATACACAAATAATTATAATTATACACAATACACCATTGTGATACGAAGCAAAATATTTTTTCAATCTTTAATTCAATTTTTTTACAAAACAGACCATAATAATATAAGTATCAAGTATCCAATAAAAAAACAGATCAAATTGTCGCCTTATCTTATCTATAATAGAAGAAGATTATCTTCAAAATAAATGAAAAATTATCTAGAAAATTAATTTAATAACTTATTCTAATATTACTGAAATAATTAAAATTTAATAGTATAATAAATGTATAATCTCAATAAACATTAAAATGTATTATTTTATATTCATTGTCCATATTGAATCTTGAATTGTGTCTATAAAATAAATATGTTTTTTAAAACCCCTTTTGAGATACGCATAGGCAATAGAATATGGGTTATTGCGGTTACTTCCCAGTTGCCTTATCAGAATTTATTGATAAAATATGGCAAAATTATTACTAATATGTTTGGGAATTACTTAGTATTTACACAGAGTACAGACATACCTACCACAGATTAAATGAAAACGGTCATAAGCATAACTAAAAAATTTAAAATTAATACCATAGATAAAAAGAGTGTTTACTGTTTAGCTCATTGTACTCTAGTGACTCGTAGTGTAGAGACTGAAGGCTCTAACTCAGTGCTTTATTACTTACCTTTTTAGTTAATCTAGAGTTCTATTATATACTACCTATATAATAGACGTCCATCGTCATTATTTATGTACATTTGTTCATAATAGTCTAGTCTTGATAGTGATTATATTTTTTTTTAAATAATATTACATTATTTTTTATTTTTGTATCACCTTTCACTCACATTTCTTGAGATTCAGTGATTTTTATATACTAGTATTGACTAAAAATTATACTAGATATGTCGTCGTCTACATCAGTGAAAATGGTGAAGTTCAACAATGGCCAACAGTATCCAATCTTAGGTTTGGGAACTTGGCAGGTAATACAAAATGATGTTAAACTATTTATATAATATAATATAATATAATATATTTTATTTCTATTAATTAATTCATCCAAAATCATAATAAATTACAGTCACGGTTATTTAAGTTCTTATTTGAGAAAAACTATTTACATTTTTGTGTGTACCTATCTATTTGAAAATACTTGTTGCCTATGTTTATCATATCTATATGCATATTTTGATCCATTATTTTATTAAATTTTAGACCAAACCTGACATAAAAGAATCTGAACAGACAGAGATTTACGATGCAGTAAAAAGTGCAATTGATATAGGATATCGTCATTTTGATTGTGCAGCTTTTTACAATAATGAACATTCCATAGGAAAGGCTATTGCTGAAAAAATTAAAGAAGGAGTCATAAAAAGAGAAGAATTATATATTACTAGTAAGGTATGTACCTTAAACTAAATATATTATGCAATTATTTAATTATTACTATTATTATTTAAAAACTATAATAACTGAGACCCTAATACCAGAAAAATATACAGCATTAGTATAGATACCATATACATCCTCTAGAACAGTGTTTCCCAACTGGTGTTCCGCTGAATCTAAGGGTTCAGTGAGCCGGCGCCAAGGGTTCTGTAAGAAATTTGGGAAATATAAATTAATTAATAATATTTTTAATTTGAATTATGATTCTAACATATAATAGCTCCTCTCCTCATTAGGACGTTTCCTTATCTTATGATAAAATATTCGTTATAACGTTAATAATGCCAAAACAATATTGAAGGTTGTCGATCCATATATATTTATATTTTATATTACTCTTGTGTCGGAAGTGTCAGACAACTTACTCATTTAAGTGTACAAAATTCTAATTATAGAAAAAATATGGGGGTTTGACAAAACTTTTAAACTCCTACAAAGGTTTCGCTAGTAAAAGAAGTTGGGAAGCGCTGCTCTAGAAAAGCGTGTGATCCGCAAATTATTATTATTTACTATTATTAGGTTAGGTTATTTTTATTACGGGGGCTGCAATAATTTTTACTATATTCTAAGGGGTTTTTCAATGGATTAGTTTGGGAAATGCTGTTTTAGAAGATTATAATATCAATTACTAATCAAGTTATTTCAGTCACCACTAAATAAAAATTATTTTTGCTACCTACAATATTATAAATAAAAAGCAGTGCACTTATTTGTCACGAATAATAATTATATGTTTTTGTACTTAAATAATTTAATGTTTAGGTACACTATACAGTATACAGTATACAATATACATATTAGTATATTAGGTACATTATTAGGTATATTTACAATTATTATGCTAATCTACTGCTGAGTGCTAAACATAAAAAAAGAACCAAGAAAATAATGCTTACATCATAGATCCTTTGCTCATATTTTTCTCATCTAATAATAGGGTAATTATTTAAATGATAATTTTAATATTGTACCAGATGCCAATTATTTAGGTCATATAGATAATTAATTCACTATTTAACAAGTATGGCATAAATTAAGTAATTTTAGATTATTGTCTTATCGTTTATGTATATATTCCTCTTAATAATTCTTATTATATTATTATATTTCACTTTTGTAAATTAATTAAAATTTTTTTATCGTAATTCATTATCGTACATACCTAATTTAAAATATTAATTTAATGTGTTAAGTATTAACATTTTTATTTGTTTAGCTATGGAATAACAAACATAAACCCAAAGACGTGGAAGTTACATTGAAGAATAGCTTGCAGTTATTGGGCTTGGATTACCTAGATTTATACCTTATTCATTGGCCAGTTTCAACTACTGTGAATAATTTAATCTTGATTATTGTAGGAAGAGCAATTAGATTGTAATTAAATTTCTTATTATTTTTAGGAACATCCGATTGCGAAAGATAGTGAAGGGCGATATATTGGCACTGATGATTCTTATTTAGACACATGGAAGGCTATGGAACAATGTGTCCAATCGGGACTCACAAAATCTATAGGAATTTCAAATTTTAATATTAAACAAGTGAAAGAAATTTTAGAAATAGCAACAATAAAACCAGTTGTTAATCAGGTAATAGCTAAGACTAAGACTACTGGACAAATCATAACATTCAAAAATTGTTTTTAACACTGTACCGTTTAACCAAATTTTCCAAAAGTATTTAAAACAATAATTATTAATATAGCATGCTTTGTCACTGTATCATGCTGATTAATTATTGTTAGTAGCCTCAAACTCATAATTGTATAATAAACTATACTCGGTTTGCCGAGAGAATACTCCTTGGCCCGACAAAAATCGGTTCATTCTGCTCATCCCCTCGTGTCACCCACCCATCACTGCCGGCGGCAGGACGTGACTGGCGTCACTAGCATCAGCGTCGGTTGCCTATTGTCATCGCAAATCTTTTAGGGGGAAATAGAGCCTCGGTAAACAGTGTATAGTAAATAAATTCTTTACTTCACATCAGGGACGTCCGATGAAGGAAGGTCATTAGGTAACGACTTTTACTTTCCTAGGCAGACGTCAGGTACCTATAGTAGGGACTAAACAATTATTATTCACAGAACAAAAAAATGTTTTCAACCCCCCTGACACCTAGTCCTAAAATACTAATACAAAAATGTTACATTCAAAAGTCAATCTGTGATAACTGACAACTGCAACAAGAGGTAGTACATGCCCACCTACCCATCCTCTCACCAATTTTTTGTCTGGAAAAATTATCCCAAAAATGTTCGGTTGTGTCTATACTGCATACCTACCCAGTACCCATCAACCATAAATAGTCTTGAGTACTCTGAGCATTATGCTCAAAAATTAACCTTGTGCAGCCACTGGTTAGATAGTGATTGATTCAAATGATTGGTTAAAAGTCGTAATGATAATGATCAAATAGCTGAAATGTTCAAAAAAGAAATCTTTTTTAAATTAACAAAGTTTTGCTTTAATTTCGCTATGCTAATAAATAATTAGAAATTATTATTGGTAAAGTAAATAAATTTGTGTAATAATTAATTAAATGATATTAGTGTTCATACCTTTAAAATTGTAATGCATTATAATTTATAATATACACTAAAATGTCCATATTAAAAATACTTATAGGCAATAAAAAAAAATTTATATTTTAGAGAATTTCGTTAAATAGGAGTAAATAAATATTTTGTTA